CAGCAACAACAGCAACAACAGCAACAACAGCAACAACAGCAACAACAGCAACAACAGCAACAACAGCAACAACAGCAACAACAGCAACAACAGCAGCAACAGCAACAACAGCAACAGCAGCAGCAGTAGCAACAACAACAGTAATAATGTAGGCATTAAGCCTATAGTATTTTAATTACTCTTGTTATATAAAGCTAACACTTAAAATAGAGCTTTTGTTTTTTATAATGCTGCTATTGCTGCTGCTAATTAAGCTAGCGCTAATGTTAATCCTGTTCTACATGTAGGACAGCAGCAGCTAGCTCTACTAGCTTATAGTCTACAGGCCTGTGCATTGCTAGCTCTTCTAGAGCAGAATGTAAAGTTTATATATAGCAGTATATCTCTTTATTAAATAGCTTTGCATAGGTCTTTGTATATTAACACTATCTGTTGAATAGGCTCTAACAGCTAGCTGCTTATAGTATAAGCACTTAAGTAGCAAGAGTAAGAGTAGTGTACAGTGTGCACAGCGTATAAGGTAGGTAAGGTAAAGGCAACATGTTTCTAGTTCTATTACTTTTATCTTTCCTCTGTACAGAGGAAAAGGGGGATATCTAGATGTTCGCGCACAGAGGTTCGCGCACAAGCATTATGTGACATAGATATGTGGTCCTGCTTGTGCGCGCTTGCTTGTATCTAGACTATAACGCTGCTGCTGCGTACAGACACTAGCAACTTTTCTTTTTGTCTAAAGAGTTACCTTCTGTACGCGTTACCTCCCTTCTGTCTGTGTAGGTTTATCTAATTATGTTCTGCCTTTACTTTACCCTATTTATTAGGACTTGCCCTTAGTAATGCTGTGCGTTAAGATAAGCTAGTTATGCTATGTAAATAGCTCTTTTTTTCTTTATTCTTTGCTTTCTAAGCTTTACTGTATAATCCCCTAGCTCTTTTCTCTTTTTATACAGTGCTAGCAGTAACAGATCCTTATAATAAGAAAGATAAGTGCATATAATATAAAAAAAAATAAAATAAAGAGAAATAAGCTTTATATAAAGGCATTATTAGTCTAGTTAGTCTAAAGCATCTTTGCGCACAGGATCTAGCTAGTCCACAGATGCTTCTATCTAGACAGAGAGGCAGTTAGTTAGAACTAATAATTAAAAAGCTTAGTTTAGTGTTTTCTTTATACATACATCTACTAAGTTATTTTTACTATTAATTTACTTTATTTTAGTAATTTCCCTTTTCTTATATAATTTATAAAGTAATATAATGTTAATTATAAGTTACTTTTTACTAGTAGTGCCTAGCTTAATAAAGTAATTATATAAAGACCTTAATTCTATGTAAATTACTACTAAAATTAGTAGTAGTTTAAGTGTTTATATAATTTACTATAGAGTTGTACTAAGTGTAATTATATTATTAAACTTTCTAACTATTTTATATAGTTTACTAGTAAGGACACTTCTAGTTACTCTTTTACACTTAGTAGAATTCTAGTGTATAATATTGCCTAGTATTTTAAAGTAGTTGCTTTACTTTATATAGTTTTTATTACTTAATATAATTAAGAATTCTAGCTATAAGCTAAAGTTTTTATTATTAGTAAATAATTTATTTATAAAGATAAATAGCTTTACATAATTAAGCTATAATAGTAGAAAGGTAAGACTACACTTACTATTATTTATCTACTATTAGATTTATGTGTTAAGTGTGTTAATATTATTATATAAAAAGTTTATAGTTTGTGCAGTAATAGACAGGTTAAATGCTGCCTCTAGTTAACACATAAATGCAATGTATACCCTTTTTATATGTTACTTAGTATATTGTTGTGCAGTATTTTTATTCTCTAGGTTAATTATATAAAGGTAGCTTACTTATCTCTTTTAAGTAAAAACTACTATGTTATGTGTAAGTTTAATTCTTCTACTATTAAACTTAATAAGCTGCTTTTCTGCTAGAATAGTTTTACTCTTTATATAAAACTTTACCTTCTGTAGTTTCTTTTTTTCTCTTTGTATAAAATTCTTTATTATAATGCTTAAGGTGTTGTATAAATGCTTCTAGTTATTTTTAAGGCCTATGTTATGCATATAGTGCATATTTACTTAACCTTCTAGAATATCTAGAAAGATGTTAGTGTACTAAGTTTCCTAAATATTTAGCTCTTAATATAAATTAATAAAAATCTTTATTTTATCTATAAAAATGTTATATAGTTAACTTATATAGTTATTATTTTTTTTATGCTTTTTAGAATTATATAATCTTATTTACTAAAAGTTTTTTTTTAGTAGTTT